TGGTTCATTAACGATACACATTTTAATTGTTCGAAGTAATCTATTTTTAAGATCTAAAAGTATATAAGTTCTAACACTTTAACAAACCGACTATATAGCTCCAAATGGTAATAAATATTTCAGTTTGAAAATTTTCCTGATATTGTCGTATAATAAAATTTACATTTCCACAATTCAACTATCGCTATATACGAATTTGTATTAAAATTAATAAACCCTAACACTAAATTTTATGAATTTGTTTTTATTGGTGTGATTTGTTCCAAGTTAGTCATCACTAAATTTTTTTTACCAATAAATTCATTTATCTAACAAAATTTGTTATCGCTCTTTTGTAAAAAATTTAATTACAAGAAAATCTACAAAAGAACTTAAGGAATAACTTCAATTTATTTTTTTAGTATAAGAAAAAATAAAATAATGTTATAAATACTTAGACCGTGTTTTCCATTTTATAGTGTAAGAAATAAACCATTGAAAACTTAACTTTGATAATAAATTCTTCATTAACACCAAAGCGAAAGCGATTTGTTTTCACTTTAATGTTTCATTATATATTTAAAAAAAGCAAAAAAAACTAGTAACAATAATAACAATTGTAGAGATAAAATTTTTTTGTTGTTAGACAACACTAAATTTTATTATTCGATAACTTTATATAAAATTACATTAAAACCAAAAAATAAATTTACGTTACTATACATTTAAAATCTATGATAATCTTTTTCTAACGCACAAATTAAATATACGTAAATATAAAAGAGCCAAACATAATAATTATGTTATTTCTATCTATGATCTGGTTATTTATAATTTCAATAAAGTATCGGTAGTAATTTACTTTTGATCAATGATATAGAAAATGTCTTCGTTTTTTATCTACGAAATGACTATTATTGGGATCTTAATTTTAAACTCTTGGATCCCAAGACTCTTTTGATTAAGTCACGTTTAGGATGTTTGTTGAAAAGATCCTTAAATTCACAATCATCATCAAAATGTATTTTCCATCCGTATTGACTCCACCAGTGTGACCACCATGCTTTGTTGTGGTGGGTTTTAGGATCTAAATCTTTGCCATCATCATTGTCACATGCGTATTTCTTCCAGAAACTTTCCCACCATGAAGAGTCTTTTGATTCGAATTTGCTCCACCAGGTATCAAAAAAGCTGTTAGTCTTGCATACATCACATTCATCATCACCATGTTTAGCACCATGTTTATCACCATGTTTGTCATAACCACCTTCGGTATATATATCAAAGTCTTCACAATCTTCAGCATCAAAGTGTTTCTTATAGCCGTATTCTTTCCACCATTTCTTCCACCAACCTTCAGTGTGATGGAATTTAGCGTCTAAATCTTTACCATCATCATTATCCTTGGCGTATTTGTTGTACCAGTTGTTCCACCATGCAGAGTCTTTGGATTGACATTCATTCCACCAGGATTCAAACCATTTGTCATCAGTGTGAGATTCTTTAGATGAGTGAGATTCGGAGTGAGAGTGAGAGTGAGATTCGGAGTGAGAGTGAGAGTGAGATTTGGAGTGAGAGCTAGATTCGGATTCTTCTTCGAATGTGAACCAATCAGCATCACAATCTTCTTGAGCAAAAGTTTTCTTATAACCGTATTCTTTCCACCATTTTTTCCACCAATCTTCAGTGTGATGATATCTAGAGTCTAAATCTTTACCGTCATCATTATCCTTGGCGTATTTATTATACCAGTTGTCCCACCATGAAGATTCTTTGGATTGACATTCGTTCCACCAGAATTCAAACCATTTGTCATCAGAACATAATTCTTCAAGTGATTTATGGGAAGATTCTTTATGGGAATGGGAGGATTTTTTATGGGAAGATTCTTTTTTATAGGTTGCAACAAATTCACTAGAATCACAATCTTCTTTGGCGAATTGTTTTTTCCATCCATATTTTTTCCACCAGTGTCCCCACCATTCTTTAGTATGTTGGAATGTTGGGTCAACGTCTTTTCCATCATCATGATCCTTAGCGTATTTATTGTACCAGTTGGTCCACCAGTCAGCACCTTTAGATTCACATTGGTTCCACCAGTATTCAAACCATTTATTGCTTCGGAATTTAAGAGATTTATTGTGTTTTTTCCACCAGTTCTTGTGCCACCAGTGTTTACCTTGTTTGCTACCTTTACCGTGTTTGTTCCATCCGTGTTTTTTAAATCCG